AATGGCAACGGGCAACTCAAAACGTCAGCGGGCGACCAAAATTAGCAAACTGGTTAGTTTCAGTCACCCTTCTGGCGACTGACCAAAAGTCCGAGTGCACACCCCTGTATATATATATATATATATATATATATATATATATATATATATATATATATATATATACACAGTGTGGAAAATAAGAAATGGAAAGCATATGGTCAATTTGACTGGTTAAAACATGGAATTGATGGTTTTCTTTGTTTAAATTTTTATCTTTAGTATTAGTTTTTTATGCCTGATATACTTATAAATAAAAAAAATTATATTATTGAAAGTTAATGAATTTATATTCTTTTTAAAATAAGAATTTTAAATAAATCAATGCATTTTTATAATGAAAACTTGCAAATAACAAATGTTTTAACTATCTGCTAATTTTAATAATAATTTTATATATAGTTTTAAATAATATAATTTAGTTTATTTAGTAATTAAGTTTTTGATATATTTTTTAAAGTTTGACAGAGTTCTGCGAACTCTAGATGAGGTCAAATGTATGAAGTGTATAATATTTGCCAGAAGAATACACTGTACCCTTAAAGGGCTTCTTTAAGCACGTCTAATTTTAATGTTTGCTTTTGCTGCAGCAGCATCTACTTTTGATCTTAATTTCAAATCATCAGACACGAAAATTCTGAAGTTGCACTCGACTGTTGTACATTTAAATGGATGACAAAGTCCATCTTAACGTAAATTTGTGTAATTATGTGTTGATTTAATTTTTTTGCAACCAACATGCATAACCTTACACTTATCGAGATTAAAAAACTTTTTAATTGACGAATGGTCTAGAACGTTAAAGGGTCTAGAAATTCTGTCAATTTCAAGACCATTCAACGGCTTTGTCAATATTATTTTGCTAGGATAGCGCATCAACTGGTGTTTTTATAGTTGTCATTATTTTGCTGTTGTCTGCATAAAGTTTTTGGAAATATTGTCTGGTAGGTCCTTGATGTATATCACAAAAAGTAAGGGGTCTAAAACATATCCTTGAGGAACTCCACTTGTTACTTTTTTCTATTCAGATTTTTCATGTCCAATTGTATCTCTCCATAGAAGCCTGGATAGCCATAATTATATCCATTCTATGAGCATTACTTGTATGTCGTAAGCTTTTAACTGATGTATAAGTCTGATGTATTTTTTAACTGATGTATAATCTTTTAACTGATGTATAATTGATGTATAAGTGTTGTCAAAAGTCATAGCTAAATCAGTATAGACAACATCAACAGGTTGTTAAAATGAAAAAAAAGTTGTATAAAACCTAATAAAAAAAACCTTTTTAAAACAGTTCTGCTACTATATATATATATATATATATATATATATATATATATATATATATATATATATATATATATATATATATATATATATATATATATATATATATATATATATATATATATATATATATTTATAGATTTTTCATTTATTATTAATCAATATCTTTTTTATTTTATATTTGATCTCTTAATAGATATGTGGTTTTAGCAACTACAAGGAAAAATATTTCTATTTGTTTCAATAATTTGTTTTTTAATTTTGTTTGCAAAAATTTTTTAGTTACTTAATAAATTATTCTAATGTGCAATTTAGAGTAGGACAAAAAGAGATTAGAATTTTAATGAATTTGTCTTACTTTTAATAATATTAATATTAAACAATAAAACAATATATGTAATGAAAAACAGTAGCATAATCATTATTAACGATTAAACTATTCATTTATTGTAACGATTAATTATTTATTGTATTCTCATTACCAACAAAGTAAACCTATATAATTTGAAAATAATTAAATAAAAACAGATTAATGAAACTGCATTAAAATAATAAATTGATATGTCAAAAGATTTGTGACATTTAAAACATTAAATTCTTTATGTGCACGTAATTGGTTTTTCATTTATTTTTTATTTTCTCTTTGTCCAGTCTCCAGGTTCGAAGTCATTCAATATTTCTGATTCATTTTTATCTAAAATTAGTTCTTGATCTAAATTTGCTTTAACTTCCAGAGTATTGTGTTTTCTTTTGACCTTTTTTTTTTCGAAAATTCTCTCTAGATATTTTACTATACTTTTTACAAATGTCATGAGATAAAGTCAAAATTTGTATTTTTTACAAATGTCAAAAGATTTATTATACATTCTTTTCGCAAATCAATGCTGAACTTGAGTTATTAAACCATTAGTTAGCAAGTGATCAGAGATTGATTTGTTTATTATTCCCTCAAGTATTTTACACAGTATTTTTTTTTTTTTAAATTTAATTCACCTCCTTGTGAATTAAATAAAAAAAAAGAAAAAAATACTGTGAAGAAGCGAGCGCTCTACCACTACACCACTACCACATATATATATATATATATATATATATATATATATATATATATATATATATATATATATATATATATATTTATATATATATATTTATATATATATATATATAT